TTCCACGCATCGTAACATTAGTAAGAGTTCTTTTAAGGTTGTTTATGGTGCTAATCCTACTAATCTTTTGGACTTAGTTCCTCGTTCTATAACTAAGCAATTTAGTGGAGATGCTGATGAGAGAGCTAAGCAGATAAAGAAGTTGCATGAGAGTCTTAAAGCAACCATTGAGAAGCAAAATAAGAGATACATGCAAGCTGCCAACAAACACAGAAGTATATGGAGTTTAATGTGGGTGATTTGATCTAGATTCATCTAAGGAATGAGAGGTTTCCACCAGACAAATTATAGAAATTAAAACCAAAGACTAATGGTCCATTCAAGGTGCTTAAGAGAATTGGCAAGAATACTTATGAGATCGAGCTACTTGGAGATTATAGAGTGTCTCCAATATTCAATGTGGCTGATTTAAGTCATTATCATGTTGATGGAACAAATAAGGATTTGAGAACAAGTATTTTTCAACTAGGGGAGATTGACACGAGAGTACCTAATTTGCTACAATCAGCTCATGTAAATCTTAATGATCCTATGATATTCTCTATAATCCACAATGCTTGTTTCATAGCCTTTAATTCAAACCTCTCAAATATAACAGCTCATGAGCTTTTTTTCTAGAGAAAGTTAAAGTTGTTTCATTAATAGGTGCTCTGGTAGGCAGAAAGTTAATATTATTTCAAAGGGAGAGTTAATTCAACTTATCTTCATGAATGAGGAATGTATTAAAAAAGTTAGTTATCAGCTGCAAAGCAATAAATTTCGTAGTTCGCTATGCATTGAGTGTTGTTTCGTACACTATTATTTATTTTGATGTTTTAGAGTTAGGGAGGAGTTCAGAATCTGATTGTATTTATAGAAACTTTTTGAGTTCTCTCTTAACACTGTATCTCTTTGGTTTACCATAAAATGGTAAGTTTCGTCTCTATATCTCTTAAACATTTCCTTGAATAATGAATCATTTATTTTTAGTTCCGTATCATTGTTTAGTGTCCTTGGTGGTGAATTTTTTATATTCATTTATGATTTTAAATTTGGTGTTGAGCTATTTATCGATTTTATGAAAATATTATCTTGAGTTATTTCTTTTCAATTCAAAGACTCGTTCCAGCAAATACAACTATTAGTCTTTTAAATTTCTTTCCTCGTTATCATAGTATCATGATTAAGCAACTAACTATATCATTCCTCGTTACCACATGGTCTTGTAGAACAGACTGAAGCTTGCACTAAAAAGGAAATCAGATTTTTTTAAAAGAAGTACTTTTCTGATATTTATTCACAATTGCATGTTACGTTAGGAAGTCAAAACTCAGCCTGTAAAGAAAAAAAGATTGGGAAGGTAAGAAAGAAAAGAACAAGAAAAAGAGGGGAAAAAAAAAGTGCCACAGCAAGCAGCCGTGTGTGAAAAATATATATATATAAAAATAAAATAAAAAGGTATGTGATCTTAGAGTTCTTGTTTTTTATATCAAAAGAGTCTATTTAAAATTTAAAAATATATATTTTTAAAATTTCTATCATTCCCTACTAATCAGAAAGTAAATAGGACTATAGATCAATTAATGTTAAAGCCTTGAACGTGATATGATCTCAAAAGATAAATAAATAATTATTATTGAAGAAAGAAAGAAAGAATCTTGATTCTTCATTGTCTTGATTTATGTCATTTGAATGATTTAGAGAGAAAAAACAAGGATCTTGATCATTGTGTTATTTGTAATACACTATGATCAATCTTTGATCACCTGTAACCTGGCTTGGATTCATCACTGGTGATACACTTTGTTTATATCTTCCACTTTAATTAATCTTGATCATATGTGAACTGTGTACTCGAACTCTTGATCTAGTTTTGGACAGTTAAAAAAGTTGATTTGTTCGATATGAGCAATCTTTTCAAGATAATATACTTGAAAGAAACACACATGCAAGGTTGCCATAGAAAATCTGATTTTAATTTGTTTCTCCTTACCCCTTCCAAGTCTTTGATCACCAAGGCCATGTGAACCACCACAATCTTTGTAATGGAAAACTTGCTCAAGAAAGCTTATCACCCAATTCACTTTTATTTGAGTTTGTTTGCAATAAAATCTAATCCATTCTACGTCGTAATGTAATTGATAAAGGCCAAAGATAATAAAGCATGCTTCCACGCGTAATCGTGTCTTTTGTGAAAGGCTTTGCTCATTTGTTTGACTTAATATCATCCATCTCCATCCAAATCCGCTAAATATTATCTTATTTGCATCCCTCAAGTGACAAATATTAGATACTATCTTTTTTCTTTCGGTAGAAAAATACATAAGATTCACTGAAACTAATTTAATTAATGTCATGAAGCCATGATGGGACATCATGCACCATCTTAAAGCAAACATGACTTGTGATTTTTGAGAAGATGAAGATTGAGCATCTATCTTCTCACTTAAGAGGATTGCTCTATCATCCGAGAAAAGAGACAATGACCGGAAATTATTATACACTAACAAGTTAGCTTAAAGATTCGTCTGTAGAGCTATTGTGAATCTAATTTCGGTAAGAGTTGCATCAGTCTTCATTATTTTGTTTGTAATTGTATTAATTTGTAGGAGAAATGAAAATAACATTAGTGATCATGATGGTGGTATTCATAATTTTCTCTATCTGAATACCAATAATAATACTAATAGGATTTATACTTACTAAAGAAAGTCTGTGTTCATTATTACTGACTAATAATAACATTATAAACCTTTTTAATACTGGAATTTCGAAATCCCGAATATACTTAATTTTTTTTTTATCACAAGTCCTAACAAAACAAAAGAAAAGATAAAACAAAAAACTCCAGTTTTATATGTGGTTGGGTGATAGGGTGTGATCCAAATAGGAGATTGTTATTTGTAAATCCTATTTACTAGTTATAATCTTATTTTAATTTTTTTAATATTCCTAAAAAAATTAATCTTATTTGTAAATACATATTTCTTCCTCCTCGGAGGAGGATGATGGTGTCATGATCGATGTCGCCAATGAGTATCAATAGTGAGAATAAAATAAGAGATTATGAGAAAGAAAAAAAAATGATAATGCTAAAGTTATAAATGATAAACTAATATTTTAGTTTTTAAAAAATTATCAATAGCAAGGGGGTTATCAATTGTAAAAAGAGAGCAATGAATTAATTATAAGCTTCTCCAAATATTTTGTCTGATTCAAGTTTTTGCAAGCATGAGATGCCAGTAACATAACTAGATATTAAGCATGTAATACATAGTTTTGGGGGGTAAAAATCCTAAAAATTATTTGAATTATTAAATATGAAGGATAGAATCGGAATTTGAGGAGTTTTAATAAATTTTTTGAGCTGAAATTTCACTAAAATAAAAAAAATTTCGTAGCAAAATGGGCATATGGATGATCGACACATGGCAAGTAATAACTAGCTATAGGTAAGGCTCATAAGGAAGAAAGAGAAGCGGTCGAGAGAATGGTGTAGCGAATGGAGAGGAAGATTAGAAAGAGAAAAGAGAAAAGACACCAAACTAAAGATGCATGAATGGATAAAAAGCAAAAGATGGAATCCAAGTTGGAGATCAAAGGGGAGGCCACCCTCGAGTCCTCCACGTGGACATCTAGTTCGCGGGTGTCAAAAGTACCTTGCGTCGTTGTCAGGAAGATGGGTGTTAAATTGTTATTTTGTCTTCCCTTGTGACACTCCAAAGCTATAATAGATGATATTAAGTAAGCCATTAACAGGTTAAATTCACATATATATATATATATATATATATATATATATATATATAGAGAGAGAGAGAGAGAGAGAGAGAGAGAGAGAGAGAGAGAG